AAGAAATATGAAACAAATAAAATAAAATACATACAAAGCGGAACACAGCTAAATGTATCAAAAGTATGTCTATGTGAAATTAGAATTTTCTGAGACAATGAATTTTGGTTTTTCATTTTTTTTCCAGTGAGAGATTTTTATTTAAGAGAATTTTTGGACAAAAAAATCGCAATATGTCACAATATATCGCCTTGCTTACAGTATCGCAATATATTGGGATATATCATATCGTGACCCCTCTGTCATGATATAAATCGTATCGCCATATTCTTGCCAATACACAGCCCTAGACACTTGCCAACCACGGTTTGCTAAATGCTAACCGGAAGTATGACATCACGATTTTACAWATTAGCACAAAGAAGGTGAAAGAAAGCAGAACCAGAACAAAAAGGTGCAAAAAAGATTTATAAAGTTTCTAATGGGTTTTTTAAGGAATCTGAAGAAAAAATCTATTCATTTTCAATGAGAAAAAGCTAAATAGTTGAAAAAGTATAAGTTGCTGAAAGACTAAAAGCCATAGAGAACCCACGGCATAAACGAGCTGAACATTTTGATATATRAACTTTTGAAATAGCACAAAAATTGTAGAACAAGTTAGATGCCAAAAATTGTATGGGGAAAAAATGGATCATCGATAGCATTCACACAACAAACACTAAATTGTAAGACAGGGATTGATAGGGCTGTTAACACAAGCCTAATAGGGGTAGGCAGTAAAGGCGGACTATTTAGAAGTATTTTTACAATGAATTTTAGTAAAAGTGCATCATTTTAGTTATTGCAGCTTTGCCTAAATTGACAATCTGTGTGTGGATATCAAAAAAAAAAAATTATTACCCAAAGAAAAGCACAAGTCTGAGTAAATCTCCAGCTGACCTCTAGTTTTTCTTCAATTATAGTTTGTTTAACAGTTAATTCAGATGAATTTTGGCTGTGTGGTCATTCTGGTTGAYGGATTAGTTTAACGGCCCCTCTGCATCACGAAATGCCTCTTTTGTGGTAAACTGTGACTGTCCGTGATGAGCTCTGGGCTTTTAGCGCGGCCGCCGATATTCCCTCTAGTATCACCCAATTATCACATTAGGACTGTGTGTTGATTGTGTGGGGGACAAGACGCGGGCCCATTAGTTTTTCACCTCCATTCACCTCTTTATCACTGCTGGAAGGGGCTTTTCACCTCCTCCGGAGCTTAATGGATCCACTGGGCCATCAGATTCTAAGTGAAGACGAACTCGCAATTAAAAGGGGGGAAAAAAAACTCTCTCGGGTCCTAAAAATTAAAAAAAAAAAAAAACAGCAAAGCGAACTCAACCTCAACATTTCTTCTCGGTCCTTCTGCTTTCCGTTGACCATTCAGGTGAATCAGAGTTTATATAATAAAAAAACGGCAGGTTAAAGATTTATCTACAGTACGTCWGCTTAAAGGAAAAATTATTCAGTCTCCATACTGGATGCCATCATCATTTGCCATACCTGCATCTCAAAGAGTCCTTTGTGGACATGAATAATTCAGCGTACGTGTAGATGTGGGGATGGCAGAGAGTTGGGGGGGTGGGGTTTGAAGGTGGTGTCGGCCGGGTGGTTAGTTGGTGCCGGGCTCTAAGTGGTACCGCGCCATCTGTTTCCCCGCCTAGGCAGAGCCAGTAAGGACTCCTCTTGGGCGATGCCAAGTAGGCTCGCTCCCCTCCACCGGGGAGTAGCAGCCTCCTGTCCGCGGCAGACATGAGGGATAATGAAGTCCTCCGTCCGAGCGGCGGACACGTCCTCGGAGAGTCKGCGAGGTAATGTTGACACTTGGGCAGGTGGAGGAAAATAAGGTGGCCAGCAGGTATGCCTCATTAAATCCCCTGCATAAATATTTAGATTTTGTCTCTAAGTGATTCAAAACCAGAAAGTTGTCTTTCGTCTTGAGCGCGAAGCCGATTTTTCATTCTCTTTTTTTTTATAATAAAGTACAAAAGTAAACCTAAATTAATTTCCATATAATCTTTTGGTTTGTTGCCTCCAAAAAAAGCAACTGGCGTACCTGAAGGGCCTTTGATCAGAGGCGGCGGTGCCATGGGGACCATGATTGGCAGATTCCCATGCTCCTTTGCGTTGGGTGTGGAAGTGGACGGCATGGTGGAGGTTTCTACGACTCCATTTCTGGACGCTGACAAGGACAGCGAGCTGTTGGCCCGATCCGGGGAACCTTCACTGTTTTCCAACGAAGCTGGGATTTTTGGCAACGAGTTTTCTGAACAGAAAAAAAAGAACATGTAAAATAAAGAACTAGGGCTGCCACAAACGATTATTTTTACAATCGATTAATCACCGATCATTTATTCGATTAGTCGACTAATCGGATCATACGTTAATTGAATATAAAACATACAGCTTATGACGTCAGAATGCAGCTGCTATTGTATAACCATGGTTAGATTTTAGCTATATGCTAACTAAAAATAATTGCTGTGGATGGCAAGTTCTGCTCTGAAGATATTGCACAGGTTTCTCTTTCATTTTCTTAAAATGATCCCACACTTTTGAGCTCCGTTGCCAGGTGGCCATGATACCAGAGCCTGTCTGTATAATGGCTATGTCCAAAAC